TATATCAAATATGTTTCACCGTATTTCTTAGATGCCTATGTAGCGCAGAGAAGTAAAAGATCGCCTGAGAAGTTGTGGGTTCGAATCCTACGAGGCGCAACAATTTTTTAAAATTTTTTTTACTGTTTTTTTTTTTCTTTTATCATTATTATATTAGCAGATATAAAAAAAAAAGTTTACCGGAACACAGTCTTTGCCTATCCGATGCTTAATAAAAAAAAACAAGCATTTAACAAAACACAGCGTTTGCTTTCCGATGAAACATCACATGAAGCTAAGCTTTTAATCATTCGAGAATTCGTCCAGCAAATCGATCGATCTCGAACTCAAAGTATGTGAGCCTTATTCGAGCCCTAAGTTATCACTAGTGTCAGATAGTATTGCGAAGGAAAAATGACGAAGAGTTTCCCTTACAATCGAATCGAGGAGGATGAACCTTGAAGTCTTTCCCTTACAGTCGTATATAAGCTAAAATGTATACATACATACATAAACTTTATTTTGCACCGTAAAGCTAATAAAATGATAATATCTGAAAGATCTCGTCTTTTAAGCCTTCAAACGTAAAACTGACAATGTTTCCTGAACTGAATTAGCTGCCTTGATGTTCGCACGCACGACCAAACAAACTGCACCTGTCAATCAGCAGATGACGGACTTTAATAGCGTGTTCAGGCTTTCTCGATATTCCTATTGGTTACTGAGGAAATAACAAACAGAATATTTGCTGATCTTCGTCAGACCAGAAGCCCGAAAAGAAGTAGTATTTGAATTATCAAAAAAGTGCTTTGACGCAATGCTAATCGAGGAACATTGCGGTCGCGTTTCGTAAAAATTCGGCTTATCTGCGTCCACGTAGTCCTCTATTAATTTGCTTCAAGGTAGGGAATCCGCGAAAAAATAAAGCGACTTGGTTTCTAAGGTTTTGCAAGGTTGTCACATCTTATCAGAGGTTGTTAACGTGGTCATGCGGTAGACCAATGAAACGCAGGCTTGGAACGGTTATCCCCAAGTAATTAAAAATAACCCTTTAAAATTCGCGGGGGAATACGATTTCACAGCCAAATTAGTTTTCATTACTGGGAAATATTGGGATCCAAGGAAAGTCTTCTGGCAAGGCAAACAGAAAAGAAACAAAGCGCTAGCCAGCGACAGAAAAAAAAGTGTGGGGAAATTTTAAAATAACCTGCTAGGGAAGCAACCAAAATCGATCAAACGGCGATCCAAAATAGGCCATGACTAGGATGAGCTTTTGATGGAGTACAATACTTTCAACCTTTTTTGGACGCTGCTCGGTCGAAGTTTCTCCTTCTTGCTTTCATCCAGGTCACCTGGATGAAAGCTTGGAGAAAACGGTTCTGTCCAAGTTCAACGAGCTTACAGCAACTTTTTCAGATTCTTACTCCAAGATTACTAATGCTTAACTTAACTGAATCCATCGAGCAACCACCTTGCGAGCAGCAACACTCTTTCGATGTAAACAAACTATGCATGCAGATCGGCTAATTTGTAATTCAAGTCTCCTTATGAAGTTATCCTCGAGAAATCCACAGGGAGCCCATTGTTTAAACGGAATTATAACACCTTTTCTGGAAAACAGCCCTTCTTCTATATATCTTGCGATCATTGAACGATTTTAGATTTAACTTTTTCACAAAGCTTTAAGTCAATGTAAAAAGTTAATTAACCTGAAGATAGGTCTCCTCATCGTATTTTACATTCATTATAATTACAACTTGAATCCAGCCAACAGAAATGTGTCGGACTGACTATATA